TTTCCGTAGGAGGTCCATCAATTTTACTTTCTTTGATGGAAAGATAATAACCATTCTACTGCTAAGTAGGCCTATTCCCCTTTCATTTACACAATAACTATTTTCATAGTTTTTCATATTTAGTTTTTCATTGACGAAGGCTTTCTATTAGAATAGAAGAAATTGTTGTGGTTACCGTCGATATCAATATTTCTTTGATGGCGCACAAAATTTCATAGGATTCAGGTGTTTAGGTGGCGATTTTCTATGCTTAAAATATTCACATAAATATTCTGATGTCACGTATTCACAGTCCCTATAAGCGCCTTGCAAGTTCTTCTACTCTCTTCATTGTCTTGCAGATAACTACCTCTCAGGAGGACTTCGGAAGAAAAAATTGGAAGAAAAGTTGTGTGACTTTATAGTATGGATATTCGGCAATAGTTTGCAATCTGTTGTCTTCTCTTGCCGTTGATATACTGAGTAACGATAGACTGTCCTTTACCTTAGAATTCAGGGAATTCGTTCATTCCCCTTCCCGAGTCTTCCACATCACCGCAATTTCAAATCGTCAATGTGAGAAAGGTACAGGCCGACGCGCACGATCACAATTCTTTTGGAACGCCTACAACTCTTGAGCCTCTGGTAGACGAGATCCTTTGGATAGTCCGAATTCTAAAGTGTTCGGCAAAATTATGGAAGCCATTCGGCGTTGAGCAAGTTCTTAGTGAAGCGTCATGCAACTGTCTGCATTCGTAGCAACCGTTTCATATCAAGCCTATACAGCGACTTACTCTATATATACACATATACATATGGGGGATAGCACAGTGGTAGTGATGCCCGTAATCACGAGCATGGCGCTAGTTCAATTCCGCTTCGGCCAACCGAGCGTATCATCCTTCCGAGGTCGGGAAATTGGCACTAAACTTGTCTGGGAAAAAATCACACTCTGCAATCCAGTTGGGAACGCTCCAGCCCGGCTATCTCAGGACACCAGGAAGAATCGCTCGACCAGCATTTTACGACATTCAAGATGGAGCGAAAATCCTAAAGCAGCAACCGAGGCTACACGTTAAAACTTGGCAGATCTTCGTGGAGAGTGGATGAGAGGAAACGAAACGAATGTGAAAAGTGCTTGGATCCGCATGGTAGACGTGAAAACGGAAAAAATAAAATAAATAAAAAAGGAGGAAATATATATGTCACCTGTACCACCTCTCGTCCCATTGATTATCGACTAAATCGAGCGGTAGGCAGTAAATCCTCCACTTTTCAGTGTCGCGTGCAAAAGCAGCCCAGTGGGTTGTGAGGGCCCAAGAGATCGTTGAGCATCATAAGTTTCTTCTAGGGTTTTCGTGGCAAACTGTGACCAGCGGACCAGAGATCTTTCTGCACTGCGTTTGACATCCCGACGAAACCAATTACTGATTCTTGTATATCGCTTGTCGTTCATACGCATTACGTGCACGGCCCACGTTATCTTCGACAGTTTGAAGTACAGAACGGCATCTTTTATTCTTGATCGTTGAGCTAGGTCGAAGGTTCGGATTCCTTCCCTCACTATTGTAACAAGAGATATTCCTAGCATCTTCCTTCTGACTGCGCTTTCAATAACACTAAGCGATCATACATCCTGCTTATGCAACGGCCAGGTTTTTGGCGCATACGTTATGGCAGGAATAATTATGGAGCCAGCAAGGTGGGCACAAAGTCGGGTATTCTTTGTCCTCTTTACTACATCGTAGATGCTGTTGAAAGCTCCTCAAGTCGCTCGTTTCCTTCTGCTCAGCTCAGGAGCTAAATCGTTCAACATGATTTCCCGACCTAGATAAACATAACTAGAGCATTCGGAGATATTCATTCCGTTGTGCGTGAATGACGCATATCTAACCAATCGGTTCCTCACAGACATCGTTTTTGTGAGATTTAGTCGAAGACCAATCCTTCCACAGGCTTTATGAAAGTCGGCAAGCATTCGTTCTGGTTGGCTACCGTTTAGTGTTACAAGAACGACATCATCAGCAAAGCGAAGATGGTGTAACTGCCGACCATCGGATTTCACTCCCGTGTTGTCCCATTCCAGTGTTCGCATGACGTTCTCTCTCGGGTGGCGGTGAATAATTTTGGTGTAATGGTATCGCTTTGCCTAACCGCTTTCATGACATCGATGTTAATATCGCTGTAAAATGATGATATCTTGGTTGTGAAATTTTTATACAATTCGCGAAGAATCTTTATATATTGAGTAGGGATGTTGCGGCTGTCCAACACTTCGATCAATCCTTCCACCTTTGGTAAGTAAAAGCTCTCCTCGTATTGATGAAAGTGAGATGGATCGGTCGCCTGTACTCTCCTGATACTTCGATGAGTCTTGTTATCTTACAGATGTTAGCCATTGTACTGAATCCTTTTCGAAACTTTCTCACATAGCTGTCATTTGTCCAGCGTTTTATCAATGCTGTTTAGGATAACTCGAGTGAAAAGTTTGTATACGACATGCACCAAGCAGATTCTACGATGGCTGCCAATATCGTGTAGGTTTCCCTTGGTGAACAATATCACGATCTTCCTCTTCTTCCACTGGTAGGAACCTTGAATTCTGACAGGTAACGAGTGGCGAGCCGAGTAACTGCGTTAATGAAGCCTGCCAAAGATTATTCAGGTGTTCAGGTCTTATCTTGTCCGGACCTAGTGTTGTTCGATTCTCCACCAAAGAAATAGCATGTCGGATTTTGAAAGGAAGAACTGGTGGCACGACATATCCTTTCCTTTCCCCTTTATCTTACATGAGGATAGGAGGATATAGGTATTGAAGTGATTTGAGTAGTAAACGTAAATGATTTTTTTTCCATTGCCCTGTGGGAGCTGTAACTGTTCCAACTGAGCATCATCTTAGTTTTGAAATTGGTAAAGCTACCGGTGGGCATTCATACCTCTTATCTTTTTCTCATAGATGATACTTTAAAGCGGAGACATAAAACTGACAAAGGTTGAAAGGTAAAGGACGCTGCCGCACAGGCTAAAATTTTTAATGGAGATCGCGTGAACAGTGCACGTTATACGACTAAATGACGAGGATCAAGTACAGATTTTGCAAAGATTTTGGACAAAAATGATCAAGTACGTCGTTTCTACTAAGAAAGGAGAACCAACTAATTATCTCCGGCTTGCATTCGTTAAGAGCCAAAATATACTTCGCTGGTATATTTTAGGATCCTTTCATAACCAATAATGATATAGATAATGTATCTGTAGTGGTTTCTACAAATCTCTTACTATATGAACAACAAGGACTCGGCGTGAGTGTTATATTGCTGTTACCAACTCTCAAATGCGACGGACCAAACAAAACTTCCTTCCAGCCTCTCACTTAGGCGAACTTTCTATGAAACGAAGTTGACAGTAGAACATTTACTTCACAATAGCTAAAGCATCAGCGGATTCTGTTCTCTTCACTTCCGAAATTTCAGACCAACACATCATGTGGATGAAAAACCAACTCAGAGTGTTAACTTTTTATTTGCTGCCTACAAGAAATAGCACCCGGAGAGCGTAATAGCGTGTTTGTTCCCCACCATAGACACCTCCGCTCGGTCCGAAGGTTTGCAAATATCTCAGCATCACTTCAGAATGTTGCAAGTAAAATGCTTAGGCAACTTTGACTGTTGAGAGTGTATAACTTCACTTTTTAAACTCAACTGTATTTACGTGAAATAGGCACACTTAGGGCGTGTGTTGCGCAGTGGTCGAAGGCGCGCTGCAATGCACATGGGATCGATCCCTTGCCTCAGGCTCACCAAGCCCTCCATCCCTCTGGGGTCTGCAAATTGGTACCAGACTTGTCTGGGAGGATAGCAACACTGGCTCGATACATCGGTAGCCCACCCTGAGTTATTGTAAAGGCCTATATGCATTCAATCACCTCCAAACGATGCTTAATGAAGTCGAATGCATGGCGTATCCCTCAGGGATTGATCAACGCCCAGAGCTTTATCCTTGATACGCTTGAAAGTTTTAGTAACATAACCACTACTTTACACACTTTGGAACACACGAACACTCTACAGTATATCAAACGAGCCAAAACTGCCTAAATATATCCAGTGTATCGCACAACTAACGTAAAGAATTATTGGCGGGATGTCATACGAATATTAGGCGTCTGATTGCGTACCTCCCGTAGAGTGCACACGTCGCCCGCTCCCGAATTGAATTCGCCATCGCTGTAATTGCTTTTTGTTGAGAAACGTAATGTGAGAGTTTAATTTCAGTTTTCCTCCAGTTTGCACTTTCCTTCCTCAATTTGTCCGTTTCTTCAAGTCCAGCCTGTTCTTTTAGGCGGTTAAAGTCTGGTTTACTTAATCGCTACGTTATTGCTGTTATTTACTATGATGCTTTTAATTCTGCTATGTTATTTAGAACAAGCTGCGAGTTTAGAGTTTATTCGATGCTAAAATGGCGTCAAAATCCGGTGTAGGTTCATCTCGAAATACTATTACGTCTACTACGAAACGAAAGCCAGTAACAACAGCTGTCACTGTGAGTTAATGTTGAAAATAGATGTACTGGTATTCATTGTGTGATTAATTCCTAGATAGCATGTTTAAATAGAGGCTTTAGACTGACTCATTCGGCCCCACAGTATCGGCGAGCGTTCAGAATTCTTCAGATCAAGGTGGGTGTGATTTCACATTTCTTTATTCTCTGATACTTGGATGCTTGGACGGCCCGTCCTCACTAGTTGTGCCGGCCTCAGCATATTCTCCATTTTTTGGAGTTTTGCTGGTTTAGCCACAGTGGTTCTTTGGAGCCCCGAGGTAAGCCAGACCAAAGTCTGCCCCAGGTCGTCACCACCACAGGCAGCCGCGGCCCTTGTGGATCAGAGGGAGATTTGCCACCATGCGACTAGTTTGATACCAAGGCGGTGGCAGATCTTGGCATTGGTTTACAACTGGGCTTCCTGATGGAAAGGCAGAACTCATTTTTAGTTTGGAAGACTTTGCCAAGGGTATGAATCTCCCAGCTGTACATCGCAGCCAGGCACCCAAGAACACCCAGCCACGGTGAGGCGGTAAACCGGTGGGAGGTTATTCTCTGATATTGTTAGGACTTCTACTTTAGGATCGGGTGAAAACGAAGAAGAGGAAGCTGAGCTGAAGTACGGTGCTAGTCATGTTATTAACCTATTCGTACCAGTTTCCATATGCATGGTGATGGTTGTATTCACGATGAATACCGTGACATTCTATTCCTATAATGACGGAAGGCACCTGTAAGTGCTTGTCTTCATACTGTTTTATCATTTTATGGTTAATTCTTACTCCTTCCATCAATGAACAATTTTTCGATTTTACTTCCCTTCACCTTTCGATAGTTGTCATTCTTTCTGCTATTTGTTTTCAAGGCTTCAAATGAGATTTAGGCGAAGAGTTTTTCAAATGATTGGTTTTAAGAGTTCCAATTGCTTAGGCGTATTGTAGAAGCTTCAATTCATACACAATTTCGGTTGCTTAGATCATCGGTTACGGTACAATGCTATAGTCATGTGCCTTTGCAGCTTATACACACCTTTTGTAAAGGAGACGGATAGCACAAGTGAGAAAGTCCTAATGTCATTGGGAAATGCACTGGTAATGTTGTGTGTTGTCATCATTATGACCGTCATCTTGATAGTCTTTTACAAATACAGGTGTTATAAGGTGGGTGTGCCAGGTTTCTTAAGTGTCTATGGATTTTGTGTTCCGATGTCAACATAATGATACTTTCTTTTAACAATTGTTTCAGGTAATCACTGCATGGCTTATGGTTAGCAGCTGTCTTCTGTTATTCTTGTTCTCAACAATATACTTGCAGTAAGGCAGTGCCGTTCTCAAATCCTTCACGAGTTGCGAATTTTCTTTCTTCCAGAGAAGTGATGAAAAGTTTCAACTTGCCATTATCTGTTTTCACCGTCTGTTTTTTTCTCGGAAACTTTGGGGTACTTGGAATTATGTGTATCCATTGGAAAGGGCCGTTGAGACTACAGCAAGTATGTTTAGTCTTCGTTTTTTCCTCCTTCTGGATTCTACATGTCTTACCCATTGTCATCCTTTTTTTCAGTTTTATTTAATTGCAATGTCGGCTTTAATGGCCCTTGTGTTCATCAAATACTTGCCCGAGTGGACCGTTTGGTCCGTGTTGGCTGTGATTTCTGTTTGGGACCTCATTGCTGTTCTAGCTCCAAATGTTAGCCGTTTTGCCTTTCCCCTCTACTGGCACTGAATTGTTTAGATCTCAAATTCTAATTTTCCAGGGTCCCTTACGAATTCTGGTAGAAACTGCTCAGGAACGCAACGAACCTATTTTTCCGGCACTAATATATTCATGTTGGTTTGTCTGCCTACTTTGTGAATAACATCCATGCAACATTATTTGTAGTATCCCTTATTCCATCAATGTGCCATCTCTAAATAGCATCCTGTTGTTTCTTAGAGGGTAAACTATCGTTTAGTATTATCAACTATTGCTATTAATAAGTATATGTGGTATTAGATAACAGTACAAGGAATTGTATTTCCATTTGTCTGTGTTGCTGTTAGTGGTTTTTACTTTTACTTGGTTTTTCCGATTTCTTCTAATCTGCCACTTGAATTTGTATTTTCGTGTTTTGAAGCTTGTTTTACAGCTGGCATGGTGTACTCGTTTGTCTTGAATGGTGCACTAGATGAGGAAGAAGAAAACCAAACTCACATTCAAACCTCAGGTGCTTCTTTGCTCGTATCTTTTTGCTATCCAGTTTTCATTAAATTCTGTTCAGCGTGTTTAGTGTACTTTTCATTGAATCAGTTTAAGGAAATTCATCTGAGAAGTCAACTCCTTCAGCAAGTGGACTCCTAGCATCTTCGAGCAGCTCTGCAGCCCACGTGAAACGATTTGCTCCGCAACGAAATCATCGAGTTGAAATTGCTCCAGGGGCATTGTGAGTTGTCTGTTTTAACGACTCAGGAGCCTGGTAATGTAAAATGTTTTAGCCACAATGATGCTGAGGTATTTGCGAAGCTCCGGACCGCATGTGTCTGCAATTGCATTCGAACACGCTAGTACCCTGTCCGACGGCTAATGCGTTAACCACCACAATATGACGGTACTTCGTTTCGCCTTTCTCTCAGCCGTGTTTTTAACTTAGTAGTGGTGTCAGCAATCACCCGTTATCGGGGTTGATCTGGTAAGCACAAATCGGCATCGAACCCAGTTATGCTGAAACTGTAGTATCAAATATACGTATTGTCATTCTGGTTGACGGGTTATTACTGATACCACTTCTAAGTTAAAAACGCGACTGAGAGAAAGGCGAAACGACGGACCCGCATAGTGTGGTGGTGAACGCGTTAGTCCCCGAACAGGGTTATAGCGTGTTCGATCCCCACTGCAGACACCTGCGGTCCTGAGTTTTGCAAATATTTCAACATCGTTGTGGATATAATTCATATCATACCTTGCCATGAAAAAGAGTAGGCACTAAATAAATAGTGATTACATTGTAAAATGTTTTATTTTAGATCCCAAGAAGCAGCCCGTTCTCTAAATGAGGCGCCTCTAGCGAACTCCCGAGTTCACCCAAATCTTGTGAGAAATCAAGAACAGAGTAAGTTTTCATACACCTACGCTGGGTTGTAAATGCAGTAATGTCGTAAAGGTTTGAAATAATAGCTTTTATGACATTCCTCTGCTCATAAAGCTTAAAGACCTTCATTTCTCGTTCTTCACAATGTGGTGCAAATATGTAATATTTCAGAGGGCGTGAAGCTTGGTCTGGGCGACTTCATCTTTTATTCCGTATTAGTGGGAAAGGCGAGTTCGTATTTTGACTGGAACACCACGGTAGCATGCTATGTAGCTATTCTAGTTGGACTTTGTTTTACTCTTCTTCTTCTGGCAGTCTTTCGTCGAGCATTACCAGCTCTTCCGATTTCAATCTTCGCTGGCCTACTTTTCTACTTTTGCACAAGATGGATTGTCACTCCATATGTGTCAGAAATCACTCGGCGGCAGTGGGTTTACTAGCATAACGATATTTGCTCCATTTTTATAGTCTTGGATACCAACATATGATCTATAACTGGCAACCTTGCGCATATGTTTATATTTTGTTGTAAAAATTTATTGGCATTAGAAATATCAGAAATAAGGAATATGCACATTCTAAGGGTCGACTTTCTATTAACCTCGCCACTGGATTATAAATGTGTCGTTTTCTTATTCAGCAATCGCGACGTTGTTACACAGCATACATTTTTCCATAAAAAAAACAATACAACATTAGCTGACGTTTCGGCAGTGTCACCTTCTTCAGAGCCTAGAAGGGTATACTGATATGCAATTTACTGCCCCTAACGCTTCAACGTCACAAAAAAAAAGAAAATCTAGCTGGTAATCACACAATCAACAGCTTCTCGAAGAAACCACCGTTTATTATGTGCCTTCCACCGAGGAAGAACAGATGATCAGAGTCGCGCATGGTCCATGAATGTACCATCCCACATCAGAAATTGACGCGAACATTCGTGGTCAGACCTCTGGGTATTCATCTCTGCTATTCATTGTAGGGTTCTTGGCATTTATCCAAAAAGCGTCAAGAAGTTTGCGCGTTGGTGTTTCGGTATCCTGTAGGACGGTATTGATTTTTACATCAAAATCTTCGCTATACTTTTGTATCCTATGCGTGCCTAATGGGGTACTTTGTCTTGCTTTCCGTTTGCCACCTAGGTGTTCTTTTTACATGGATACACAAAGGTCGGCCCGTTTCGCTAATATATTCATCTCCTCAATTATTACGAGAGGTCAGGTATATCGCACCTAAACTCATGCAATCACCGTCCCTGCCGTAAGGGCTAATTACGCAATTTGTTGTTTCACATAGATGGTCATACAGGTAGTTACGAACTGACGACGTAGAGTGGCCGGTGGTATTTCAACTATCGCTACCGATTCCTCTAGCTCTGCTCTTTTTAAGCATCGTTTAATAGCTAAGCTTTCTTCATCACTAATAAAGGGTAATACAAACGGGATTTTCTTTCGGCCAAGTATTTCATCGACGTCCCAAGCCAAATGGTTTGGCCAAAAGAAAATCCCGTTTGTGCTACCCTTTATTAGCGATGAAGTAAGTGTAGCTATAAAACGGTGCTTAAGAAGGGCAGGTTTAGAGGAATCGGTAGCGATAATTGAAATACCACTGAATGCTCTTTGTTGTCAATTAGTTCGTAACCGCTTATGTGACCATCTATGTAAAATACAAAATTGCACAATTTGCCCTTACGGCAGGGGTGGTGATTGCATGAGTCCGTATAGAGTTTATCTGATCTCTTGTAATACTTGCGGATATGGATATACTGGCGAAACGGGCAGACCTTTCTGTATCGGCATAAATGAACACTTAGATGGCAAACGGAAAGCAAGACAAAGTACCCCATTAGGCACGCATAGGTTACAAAAGCATAGCAAAGAAAATTTTAATGTAAATGTCACTATCGTCCCACAGGATGCTGAAACACCAACGCGCAAACTTCTTGAAGCTTTTTAGATAATTGCCAAGGACCCCACAATGAATAGCAGGGATGAATACCCAGAGGTCTGACCCCGAATGTTTGCATCAATTTCTGATGTGGGATGGTGCATTCATGGACCATGTGTGACTCTGATCAGCTGTTCTTCCTCAGTGGAAGGCACGCAATAAATGGTTGGTTTTTCGAGAAGCTGTTGATTGTGTGATTGCCAGCTAGATTTTCATTTTTTTTGTGATGTTGAAGCGTTAGGGGTAGTAAATTGCGTATCAGTATAACCTTCCAGGCGCTGAAAAAGGTGATACTGCAGAAACGTCAACTAATGTTGTATTGTATGTGTTTTTGTATGGAAAAATGTATGCTGTGTAACAACCTCGCGACTGCTTAATAACAGTATGCGCGTATTTATCACGAAGCGATTTTTCCTAATTTTGCCCGAAATTGCATTTTTGCGCTACCTTGTGTTGGCCGCCATTTTTTCGACTTTGTCAAGTCATATTTTAGAATTCGTTTTATATATGTTGGATTTAGCAAAGTTGTGTATTTTGTTACTTTCGTATGTTTTACCGTGAAGTATTTCTTCTCTGATAGAATTTTTATAGCTACTCTGAGTGGTTCTATTCTATGTTAGTTTTTACCATCATCTCGTAAGGCACCTGTTTAGTTGTTAACTAAGCCCTTTCAAGATCAGTTTTTCTCTTGAGTTCGTTGAAATATGTTGTTTGATTTGCAAAACGCCAACAACATAGAAAGTTAGATTGCTCGATTTTTTTCTTCGTTGGTTCCACGTATACGAAGTGTACCCTTTGGTATGAGGTTATACTGTTTTGATATTGTGAGGGATTGGTTAATGTTTTCGATAATTTGTATATTTTAGTGAGAATACTCAAAATGAGAAAATGTTATGGATAAGTGAAGGAGAAACATTCTTGCAATGTTGACCTCTTTTAAATACATTTCCAGTTCTCCTTTATTGAGTCCTCAAATTATTCAATTATTATTTAGTTCTCATAGATCGATTCATCTGTAGTAGTTGCCAGTGGGCTCTTCGAGTTAGTTTTCAGAACTGAATAACCGCCGGTGCAGAATAGAACGCTCGACTTCGTATGAATTTGCCACACAGAACTTTTTTCGACGTTAACTGGAACATGTATAGTTGGAGCTCTATATACTGTAACAATATCACATCACTATAACAATAATTCCATGAAGACATCAAGTAGTTTAGCCAGTACAAAGCACGAGAAGGTAACGGCCAACAAGTGAGGACAGAATGATGATTGAAGAGCCACCTTGAAAGAGCGAAGTTGCCTCCTCCAAAAGGCGGGCGGAGTAGTGTGGTGCATAACACTTTGAGAGGAGTGCAGTAACGGTTTAAGGAGCTGAACAAATTAGAAGGTACATGTAAAATTATCATAACAGCGCGATAGAGTTAACACATGTACGAATAGTGCAAGTGTTTGAGGCACTTGTTAGATTAGCAACACAGCGGTTGCATGACTACTGCTAATACTTCTATTATGTAGACGGTACAAGGGTATGAGACTGAGCTGACATTATTCTGGAGGCCATCCAAATCGAAGGATAGGTGATAGGATAATCGGCATTAAGCGAGATAACAATGTGACCTAAGATAGCTACGACCTGTTCACGGTGTCTGGAGGCAAATGGTACTGTTATGTGGCGTGAGTAACTTCTAGTTGACGTATCATGGGATTACTAGAATTTTCTAGCCAACTGCAAGGCAAAGCATAAGCCAGCTGGTAGTGAACCATGCTACAAGAGTCCTTTGGAAGGCTATGATAAATATGGCTAGCAATAAACACAGCATAGAAAACATCTGCTAATAGAGAAAACCCTCCTAACGGTTTTTCGCCCCATCATGGCTGGGACTCGTGTCGGCCACGATGTACAGCGGGGTGATTCATTCCCAACCAGTGTTTCCATCTGGAAGCCTGGCTAGGGCTAAAGCAATACCAACATCCACCACCGTCCTGGTATCAAACCAGTTGCATGGTGGCAAATCCCTATCTGGTCCACAAGGGCGGCAACTGCCTATGGTGGTGACGACCTGGGGCAGACTTTGGTCTGGCTGACCATGGAACTCCAGGAAACCACAATGGATAAATCAACAAAACTTCTGAGCAATGGGAATTATACTGAGGCCTGCACAATCAGTGAAAACTGACCATCCAAATATCCACTTAATGTAAAAAGTAGGTACTATTTAGGGGTATTTGCTATATCGTCACTACTTCAATTTCGTCCCATCAAATATGAATGCGCGGCATGTCAAATGAATCGGAGCATATAGAGAACACCGCCATTCTCGTAGAAAATATTTCTAAAGTTTTCAGACGTTGCTCGACGAATTTTGGCGCGGAATTAGGTGTACCCTACTAGTTGTAGACACGGGAAAAAAAACTAAATCTACACCACTATTTAGATCCAAACAGAATGAACTGGATGCGGAATTATTCAGTTTTTGATCTAGGATAGGAATACGTAGTGAATTTGTCTTATTCTACTTTGACAAAATCCTATAACACGTAGTAAATGTGCACATTTCTTGTTTTTCGTGCATGTGTTTGCTGCAAATAAATCATACACCTATTTCTTCGCATAAATTTAAGGAATAGAGTGCTTACACTATGGCCACCTTTTATACTTACGGTACGGTACGCTTCATTACGACATCAAGGACTGTCCTGCTGTCCAGTACCAAGATCTGGCACATTTCTTCAACAGGCACATCCTAGCAGACAAGATTGTTACCGATTCACCATTACAGAATGTATAGAGGCCCTGGTTGTTGTAGAATACGATATCGAAGCAACGGCGGTGTATGTATTGGAGGACAACCGTAGTCAGTGCACCATAAGTACAAAAAAAACCACGGTCGAAAAAATTTTATGACGTCACCATTCAATGCCCTATAATACGTCTCCAACGTTTTCGCACTGTTTGACAGAGTCGTTGCTAAGAAATCAAATACGTTTATGCACGCCCCGTGAATAATTTCTCAGTAGGAGTACAATGATTCCGTTCCATCAATTAACCATACGATTTTCTTGGAACACTACTTGAATGGACACCAAGCTAGCAAACAGAACGGTCTTCACGAATGTGAGCAGTGAGTAGCTGAGATCAATCAAGGTGGGGAATGCGTCGAATTGGTAAATGGTATAAACAAAAGCAATTGATAAAAATGCCATGAAAACAAATGTCATGACAAAAATGATGCAATGATAATAAGACTTTATATAATTTGTTTTAAGTCATTCATTGTGCAGGTGTTGCCCGTGATTTATGGTGATTTGCTAAAATTTAACAACTTCTGAAAGACGAGTAGGAGCTTAAGATTAGAATTAAACAAACTTAAAACATACAGAACATCCATCCCGTATTAATACTGTACAATAACTGATGTGCTTTTGTCACCAGGTGGTCACTATGTCACTATAAACATCTTACTGATCAGCAACTGATACAACGCTATGAGATCGTTCGTGTGGTTTGAGCGATGAACCGACTTCCCGCAGCGACGATATTGTCTTCTTAAACCATCTGTAAGGAAGATGGGATGAAAAAAGAGAAATCATTTCTGCAAACAAGTTCTAAAAAATGATGGAACACTGGATGATTTGCATCGAAAATCGAAAGAAACAGTAATGAGATTCGTAACTTGCCAGTGTTTACGTTCGGAGCATAAATAAAAAGATAAAGCATAAAGCTCTCGGCGTTAATCAATCCCTAAGGGATGCACCACACATTTGACTTCATTAACCATCGTTTGGAAGTGATTGAATGCATATCCGGCCTTTACAATGATTCTAAGTGGACTATCGATGTATCGAGCCAGTGCTGCTATCCCCGCAGACAAGTTTGGTGCCAATTTGCCGACCCCGAAGAGAAGGAAGGCTTGGTGGGCCATAGGGGCGAGGATCGATCCCACTTGTGTGTTGCAGAGTGCCTCCAACCACTGCATCACACGCATCCTTATTCGGAGTTCGGAGCATAAGCATTATAAATCGGTGACGAACTATAAAGTGCCAGAACATACGTTCAGCAAGCAAAATACTTTAATTTTACTGATCTGGAGAAGATTACATGGTTAACAACTCACCGCTTGCCGTCACTTTCACTCTGCGTCATCATCTGGTGTGTTAAGTCTTGATTTTTGCATTCAGCTTCAACAAGAGCTAGTTTTGTCTGCGCTAGATCTATCTCCAGTGCTCTAAAAGTAGACAGACGCTTAACTAGGATTACAGAGGTGTTCTTTTGTTTATAATGAGTAGTCTTCTACGTGGTTAACAGTTGAAAAAGTTATTGGAACTCATGAAAAGACGTGACGTGGAAGCGTCTTTTCAGGACGTCTTGTTATTCAATATTTATCTAACCCCTATAATATGCTCCTGTGTAACCCCATAATAAGACAGTAGCGCTGTGTGTGCAACTGGCATGCTAACTAAGCTGCGATTATGAGAATTCTATATAAGTCTCGTTAGCAGTTTTACAATCCACATAGAAACCAACTTCACGTGCGCTTCTCTTTCCTCAAGTTGAGAGAGAAGATCAGGTCCGTCTTGAGGAGTTCTAGCTGGACTACGATTCGCCTCCCACTCTTCTACAGCTGGCCAGCACTTGTCGCATGCTGATATCCGGGACTGTAAACGGAACTATATAGTATAAACGAAGTAATGCACGCTAATAGAAAAGAAAGTGAAAAAAGTTACTTATATAATGACTTACGATAATGGACCGCTTTTGTGTGTGGAATTGTTCACGTTCAGTATCGCATCTGGAAGTGTTTCTTTGATGAAAGAGAGAGAAAATGCACATGAAGGTGTATGAATGTTTACCTTCGGCTCATTTGAGAAAACAATTGCTTGTACTCCTTCAATAGCTTGCTAGCTCTATTCGCATCCTCTTCAAGCCGTGAAACCTCCTTCCGATACATTTCTTTGATCTGGTATATAAACGACCATCACCAAAACATAACAAGAATCGGATCGACTCAACAATGTAACAAGCAACAAGTTTAATAAAGACAAAGCAACGGAATCTCAAAACGTTATCAAACATTTAAGTGGTTACCTGATTATATTCTCTTTGCAAATTCCGATTTTCTTCAAGAAGGTCCTCATTTTGTCTAGTTACCCGCTCGATTGTGTTTGCAGACGTTTCTACTTGATCCTAGAAAATAACAACAAAGATAAAAAAACGAAATATTGCAGTGAAACCAAGCTTTGCCTAGTCATACCTCAACTGCATCCAATTTCCGACGTAGTTCAATTTTACTGGTAACGAGTTCGTGCGCGAGATCGTCATTTTCACGTTCCAGTCGAAGAATGGTTTCACAATGACGTGCATTTTCCTTCTGCAACACTATGCAATAAGGCTTTCCTAAGGATCACTACTACGTAACAACACTCGCAAATAAGTAAGAATAGGTATTCCTAGCCTCCCAACGGTTAACCGCCTCATCGTCGCTGGGCTGCGATGTACAGCGAGGGTTCGTCCCCCGGCAGGGTCTCCCAAGGTGACAACGAGTCCTGCGTTTACATCAGGAAGCGCAGCTATAAGTAAATCAATACCAATACCAGGATCCACTACCGCACTGGTATCGAACTAGTCGCATGGTGGCAAATCTCGCTCTAAGGGCTGCGACTGCTTGTGGTGGTGACGAACTGGGGCAGACTTTGCCTAGGCTGACCTCGGGACTCCAGGGAAATACAATGCTTAAACTAGCAAAAGTCCGAAAAATGGGAATTATGTTGGGACCCGCACGACCAGCGAGGAAAAGCCGTCCAAGTATGTAAGTAAGAATGGAGAATTTTATGAGGACATGCTATTAGAAACTGGCAAACTAGTCAACATCTGGTTTATTACAATGTCACCTAAGAGTGTTGGTCAGCAACAACCAAGTTGAACACTCAGGATGAATCAAAGTGGGCTTATTGAGTATACCTATTTACCATGCAGTAGGAACAAGGTTAAGTTGATTACGGAACAGACAAACTGCTATCACCTGAAGCTTCACGAGAGGATCTTCATTCTCACGTTCACGCTCCTTCATCTCAAGATATTCCTTCTCGTACTTCAACAGCCGCTTGTGCTTCAACTAAAGAGTACGGTTTTATAACGAAAACAAAACTAACGCTTCTGAACGGCTTCGCAATGATCTCGTTTATAGTAAGGTTCCATGTGAACGTCTCACTTGCTTTAACATGAAAGCTGGTCGTCATTACTTAAGAGCTATCATTTGGAAGAATTCAATACAGTGCTTGTAAGACTAGGAGTACAAATAAGATCCAAGGTCAGCGCCATAACTATACTCACTTTGAATCTCTGTGACAGTAATGACCGATGTCGATGTCAACTACTATTTTCATTTAATCTTCATGTGTTTATTTCCACAAAAAAGGGCTACTATAAATACGGGAACAAAAGTGGCTTTCTCACAATGATATCCTATCCCACTGTCCTAATGACAAGATTCCTATTGCTAAGCTTTCACATTTGCTATAAAATACAACGGCATATCATCGCTACACCCTTCATCCACGGTAAGTCATAAACAAAAACCAGCCAGTTTCATTACCACGAAACATTTTGTAATAGCTTCCTTAACAAAACGCCTCATGGTTCAACACTTTGCCAACGGCTTAGAATGACCAGTGAGAAGGCGGTTCATTGCTTGGGTGGTTAGCATTCACTCAATTAAAAGATTGTAAAAAGACATGGACTAAAACTTCGTAAAAAGCTCATTAAAACACTTCACATAAAACAATAGTATAGACCGTGGTAGAAAACTTGAAAAGAAAAATGTAAGAAAAAAGTCTTTATAAAGTAGGAAACACGAAGCCTGACCTTGAAATCAACAGCACGATGAATCAACGCTTTCGCATTTGCTTCTGTTCGATACTTCCGAGGAAGTGTAACTCGAAAATACCTTAAAAACATAAGTGAAGATATGGAAGAAGGTAAAAAGGATAAAGCTCCCGGCGTTGATCAATCCCTGAGGGATGCGCCACGCATTCTACTTGGTTAAGCATCGTTGGAGGTGACTGAACGCATATTTGGTCTTTACAAAGACCCACGGTGGGGCTAAGCCAGTGCTGCTATTCTTTGAGACAAGTCTGACAGCAATTTGCCGACTCCGGAGGCACAGAAGGCTTATTGGGCCATGGGCGCTAGGATTGATCCCATTTGTGTGTTGCAAAGCGTCTCCAACCACTGCGCCTCACGCGCCATGGAAGAAGTTAGTGTAACCCAAATCAAATTTTTGCTACCCCGCTACGATCAAAATAAGTGTAGGATAGAAGTTAGATTAGTGATTACACAAAATAATAAGTAAAATAAAAGAAAAGGACCCACTTCAAAGCTAACTATAACTAATAACTATAACTAACATGTCACTGCACTCTGCGCTCTGTCACTCTCGATAGAAGTTAGATTAGTGATTACACAAAATAATAAGTAAAATAAAAGAAAAGGACTCACTTCAAAGCTCCTTCAAAGTCAAGTTGAAGAAGATCCGCAGCAGCATCGTGGAGTAATGCTAGAGATATGTGAAATATAGTATTCATACCCTAAAATAGCAGTGCAAACATATAGCACGGACACAGAAATAAAGTAGGTTTAATACTTAGTTATTAACCTCGCTAAGAAAGAGATCAACAATGAAAAACACCATCTGAAGAGGGAACTTCGCAGTGAACAGGGTTAAGAACCATTGAGAAGCATACATATGGGTTTCCACGCCAATATGCTCAAGGTGAGCTGCGAGATTGCTTTCGTATTCCTGAGACATTAGTTAAATTGACTGAAAAAGGTAGACGGACAACAGAAGAATAAACGAAATCACTTTTAGCAACCGTGTTAGTTGGTAGAACCGGAGATGCAGTGAGTCAAATCCAAGTTTAAATAAATCTCTTAGTTGATAATCATACATAATTTTCACTAACGTACAAAACGCTTGTTCCTCGTTCATCTGAAAGAGATAAAATTTCTGTGAAATCTGAAACAAAGTGCGGTAACACAGCGAAACCTACATGTAGCAACAAGCTAGCGGCCAAAAACGAAAGTCCTTGACAGTAGGACACCTCCTCATCGTATAGAGAATATGCCTATAAAAGTACAGGATTAATAGCACTTCCGAGAGCTCCTCGAAAACTAAAGCAAATGACAGCGAATGGACATAAAAGACTAATTGCAGAGATTTCACCTATCGTGCGAAATCTATCTAAAAATTTTCTCCGTTTTGAATTCAACTGAAGTTCAGATTTTCAGGCAACTCATCCTGCTAGAAATAGATTTTACCTACTCGAAATACGAGCATCGATGAAGCAAAGTGAGAAATAAAACGATTTCTGAGCATCACAAAACCAGAACCTCAAACCTCATAAAAACAAACGAAAATTCCATGCTTTTAGAAAAATCTGTAGATTATTATGGCCCAAGTACAAAAGTTGAATAAGCACAGAGTTGGGCATTTTAAACCAGGAGTAGTAAATTTACTTCCGGCTACGTACAAGTCGTATATTCCTAATGACGTCCAGAATGTGTCACATGAGGGCTATCCTTTAGGACTACGTCATTTAAAAGTTAGAAAAGAAGAAACAGCAATTATTACCTTACTGATCTTGTACAAGGATTCTTGTCCTCCTCCACCAGCTTCTTTGAAATTCTCATGAGCCGGAAACGTCCTATGAATGTCTCTTAGTATCACCTGCTCGGAAGGACAATCCTAATAAAATTACCAATAAGCGAGTGCCGAAAGCCAACAAAAAGTGCGATACGAACCTTTCCTAACAATAAGTGGTAAGTATTAACAAGTTCTGGATCAAGATGAACCTAAACGAGACATTTCAGCGACGGTGAATAATCGAAAAAACCACAAAATTTGAAGAAGGGTGTGCAACATTGTGGAATTTACTAGAATTCTAAGAGAAAACTTCGTAAAAATCGATACGCAAGTATGAAGATAATCCAGAAGCAAGCAAGAAATGTACAAAACCATAGAAATCCCAGTTTCAAGTCAGAAGACGGCTTTCTTACATAAATAATCAACATGAGTAACCTTGGCGAGAAGTCTCCACACTTCGCCACGCAGCACATCAGGAACACCATTGTGAATTAATGATGAAACAATGGCTGGTCTTGCCCTGAACAATAGTGGATAAAACACTTTCACAAACCCCGAATTCACTGACCCTTCCTCATTTGTCCTCCACTCCTCAATACAAGCAGTCCATTGCTTCATCAGTTCCTCAGGGCAATCTTTACTAACATCACCGGAACCGGAAAGAAGAGGTTCGTCCGAATCTAGAACAGATATCTATTGAGAAGAATCCGAAAGCTTTGCCTCAGTGTTTTCTGACTCACCAGATTCGTCATCGCCAGTCGGTAGTATGAGCTGAGACGGCATTCGACTGGGGCTACGACCAAGACGCTGTTTAACTGAGATGCGATCTGTGTCCGACTCCATTTTGACAAACATCAAACCGCCTCCAGATGTCTCCCCGTTAGATATGTCGTCTGTACGCTGAAATGCAGAGATACTTGAAAACAAGGTTCAACGCCCGTTAGAAGAGTTATTGAAAGCATTTCGTATAGAAATCTTAAAGTAGGCATTCACCAAACCCGTTAACTAACGCTACGTGACATATTCAACCTTCTAAAACCACATTAGCCGATAAGAGCAGGATGTCCTGTTTTTCCGAGATCAGTCAGCTCCCGCGATGGACGACCACGTGTGTGGCATCACGACCTGACGTAGTGCGCCCCCATTTTAGTAGAACAAGACCTCAGTGCTTCAAAAGTTGTTCCACCACCTCGTCTAGTACGAAAGACGACCATGACAGCCCTGTTATTGCCAAGATGTGAATCTTTAAAGACAGAATAACGTCAGTAAGGTCGAAAGGGCAGCTTACAAGTCCCAACCTAACTGCAAACTCATAATCATTTTTAAGAAACTCTTGGACCTCTTTCTATAGCATAACTGGATAACATGAATGAAAATGTAAAGTTTCATGATTGATCAACGAAAAAAAAAACATCTTGCATTTCGACAAGGAACAAAAGTTAAGAGAGGCAACTCTTTTTTTTTTTTGAAAATAGGTTATACACGTGTACCTAAGCATTTTACTAAGGCCACTTGAAACTGCAAAACTAATCTCCCCACTTGCTAATTCAAATCAAAAAGACGGAAATCAACTCTCACAAGAACCAAGTGCTAGATCCAGCACCCCACTTCCTAAGAGTTTCCATGTTCACATGAGAAGTACTACTTGCACTCCAAGGACTACGGCCTAATTAATAAACAAACAGCTCATGGCTGAAATCTGTGGACTGTTACTCCTACTAAATCTGCTTCGAAGCAAATGAGATGCTGACGTGGTTAACAACGAAACAATAAAGAAATACCAACAAGGATTTATCTTCCACAAAAACTTTGCAGGAACATCTACGGCTTCTAGCACACTTTCCAAGCTCCACTTTCGCAAATCGTTCCGCACATTGTGAAATTTGAGGATTCTTTGTGGTTGGATTTCCAGAGTACTGAATAGAAAAGACGAGCTCGACAGCTAAACGAACTTAGATGGTCCGAACTCATATGGCGTGTCCCGCGCCTGTCCATCATTTTTCCTGATATCTTGGAAGCGAAGTCGACAGAGGTGTCCGCTATCATTAATTGGTTCGGCAGAGGATCATGTATCCATCGAATTTTTTCCTAATGACCGCCACGACGACTGCAAAAACTCTTCCAGAACAAAGGCGATTCGTGAAATTACTCGACAAGCACGGCCGAATATGATGTAGCAGTCCGAAATCAAGAAAGATAAAGATAGAAAACAAAAGATTGTAGCCCAGAAAAACATTATAGCCTCTCAGTCAGCATCAGGAGTGCAGTCGGGCACTGCAAACGCCCATACTACGGGATGATGTGATCAATCGATAGATATACGTAAGCAAACGAAACAACGAACAGATCCAGAAGTGCTGCTGGATTATTGGTTCAGCACCAGATGGACCGATAATCGTTTATTTTTGAGAGCAATCGCCGGCCATGCAAGAATGATTTGGAAGACGCGAACAGGGTGGACCACGCACGAGCATTTTCGCCCGTGCCAATCAGCTGCGATGCCAGATGGAGGAGAAACAGCGTGAGCAGCGAGGAGTGCGCCTGATGCCAAGACAAGCAGTGAACGCGGCAAGGTAAGAGTGCTGGAGCTACGAGAGAATAAAGAGTACTGCCGTCGATGATGAGCAGACAGAGCCACCTACACACAGAACAGCACGCTGCACGGAAACCCGCGGATGAGGACCACAATTGGAACGCATTCGTGTAGGACGCACGAGTGCTGCACAGCCGAGATCGCGAGTACCGTTCGCTTCACGGACGGCACGGTAGTGTTTTGTGGAAGAAAAAGCTGTGTGTGATGTAACGAGGGGTGGACGGAATTCAAATGACGCATGCTATATTCACTACAATTATTTCGCCACCACATAACGAAAGTAATAAACGAATACGCGAAATCTAAGAGAACCAATACTGATTGCACATATCAAATGAGCATTTTTCTCGCTAAAGCAAAAAAGGTGGATAAATGAGAAGTGTTAAGACTTGGATACTGTAGATGTGTGACTAGAGTGGGAAGTGTCAGCGACTAGTTTTGGAGCATTTGGCATGTGGGATTTCCACCTTTCCACACATAGGTTCCCAAGGCACTGCAAAACTTGGGAGAGATTTCCTCAACTTATAAGAAATTTTCGTTCCTTTTCACAATGAACTGAGAACAAGGATTAATGATACGTGAACTTTAGAAGATAGTACTGATATAACGAAGAAAAAACAATAGAGTAGATAAAACGCTGTTCTTTCGATAAGCAAAAACGAGGATGTTAATTTTTAACGGATGTTAACGACACTTATTTACTACAACGCTAGCCAATGTTTCGGCGGTTTCGTCTTCCTTAGAGCCTGGAAGAGTGAAATTGCCACGCAACACTCCCGGTCAAATACTATCGTAACCTCAGCAGGCAGAACACTATACAAACTTAGTACAACAAAACTAGATAATTCACATGCAAAGATGCTGTGAAGTGGTAAAATTGTAGCAATCTGTCTCATTTGTGGTCCTGTTAGTCATCGGCTGACTCGATCGATCACAACTAAAAACTCCATCTGTGTTTGTCGCTACACCGCAATGGACTCCAGAAGCTCGATGAACACATGGAGCCTCACACCATTAGTGTCGGACCCATGATGTTTGTCTCTTGTGAGAAAATAGCTATGATAATCAGCTGGGGTGATAGGAAATAGAACTTTTAGCTGAGGTTCCGAAGGGAAATACTGGACTGTTTTTAAGGTATGAAGATCCATTTGAATGATTTATCATCATTGTCGACCGCATTCAAACAGTCAGCTACAACTCTATACATAAATGTCTAAGAAAAGTATTTGTATTTATTATTTCCTTATACTTGTAAATGTTAGCTAAGATTTGAATGTATTGCGAAAGCAATTGAGTGAGCTTGTATGTTCTGCATATAATCACTAACAATGAGAAAGAAGGCAGAATAAAGATTTGTTTAAATGAAGATTAGCCACAATTTCTTCCTAACAATGATAGCATAACTGTGTTCATACTTAAATAATGTGTACTCTAGAAAAAAAAATGGTGCGAGGGTAGAACAGCGGCAGTGGTGTAGTTCAATACGCACCAGGGTTCGGTTCGAAACTGCACCGGACCACTGAGGTCTCTTATCCTTTCGGAACCATGAAATTGTTACTAAACTTGCCTAGGATCAACTCGCTTCCTTCGATTCGCAAAAGCCAACGAATGCTTGTGATAAGGCCTGTGATCGCCCATACAAGGGTATCCCGGGATTTCAGAGATCGATTCGACCAGTATTCAGCGACATTCAGAAGATCAAAAGTTATCAAGCAGCAGCCAAATCCATACGCAGAAGCCGAAAACCTTTATAGAACTTGGATTCGCGAGAATTAATCGAACTTAAGAACTGGTTTTTTAAAAAATTTAGACAAAATAGCAGCACAACATGATGGCCTAATAAACGCTTGGTAACTATTGTTATTATTGTTTTGTTTTAGAAAATTATTATTATCTTGTTTATTATTATCATTATTGTCATTATGTTATTATCTATTATAAAAGTTATTTGTTTAAAAAATTGCTAGAAGCACGTGCTCTCCTCTCAAAGGTAGGGGCAACCGCAGTGAAAAAGTACGGCATGTGCGGCATGTTACAAAAGATGTTTTCATAGCCAAATAATACTCTACACGTCGACAAGGAAAACAGACACGAGTAACAGTTACCAAATGCAAATAATATCAACTTTTAATGTGTAGATAACCGGGTTATTAACGTGCAAAAGTCGTTAATATAGGGAAAATTCATCGTATTTCCATAGTAACCTGTGATCGCGACGTACTGCTGAGTTACCTAAGGACTACTTAGAAGTTAGTGCGCAAACATTGAAACAAAAGACTGCGAAGTAGAGATGGGGAAAGTCGTTTTTTTGGTAAGAAAAAGCACAAATACAGCACAAAAATCCAAAAAAAATAGTAAATGTTCTCAAAGCTTTGCAAACCAAGCCTACAACAACAGGAACGAAGAAATGAAAAAACTTCGTTGGTGTAGTTACCTCTAGCACACAGTCAGTTTGGCAACAGATAGAATGACATAACGCGTCACGAAGCCCACTCCACATTTCTTTCTGGTTGAGAAGAAAAGGTTAAAGGCTGGCTAAGTGGTGTGATAATAGCGCGTTCGTAAGCTAAACGAAAACGTCAATTTTCGACATTCCTTTGAAACAGTGGGAAGCGCAGTTCTCGTGCAAGATTAATTGCATTAGAAGAGAATCGTATATTAACCTTCAATAGCGCAATCCACAAGATTAGCTAAAAATAGGTCACAATCTGAGGTCAGCGAGTTTTACGTGGGTACGTTCTTGGCAGAATCATATCAGGAGTGCTTACCGGTGTTCGATTGAGTTTTTCGACGATTAACGAGATTTCACGTGGTAGATGAGCAAACAAAACGGAGTATTTAAGGTGCAGCAGAACGATTCTATCAAAAACTAAAGTCACTACGCAAGGAAGTCTAGTTTGAATGCTCTGCCATATTGTCTACAAAATGAATCTAAAGGGTGTTTACAAAAAAAATGGATAGCAAAGTAAATCTTAAAATTCTTAACCAACGAAAGGAAAGTACGGCGTTTTCAAGTTCTAACAACATCATTGCAAAGAAAGCTACTTATACTGATAACCTTCCAATAAGAAATTGTTAAACCAGTTTGCCAACGGAAAACTCAACGGGTTTAAAAAATGAACCTAATTCAATTATTGTGGTTAATTTTAGGTGGACAAGTAAGAAGCATTGTATCACGCACTATATCAATTGTATCCTCCACAACAATAAAACCCCGTTTGTTAGTTCAGGACACTCATACAGCCACTATCAAAAGAATATGTCTGATCTAATCACATGGATGACTCCTTGATGCTCTCAACTTATTGTTGCCTAATTTTGAATGATTTACACTTTATTGTAAGAAAATCCCTAGACTTTAACGGTTTGCTTGGTCTTCGCAGCGGTAGTAAACAGAATCAAACCTCTAAAGTAAGCGAATATCCTTCACGAAGAGCAACCCTGGGTAGCTTGTAAAATCGTTCGTCGCGATGAAACACTCTCGCTTTCGCTTCAAGTCGAAAACGAATTGGTTCACCTGCTTCTGCTATTATCACATCAGCGGCTACCGTCAAAAATACTCGAGAATCTGCGAACACTTCAGAATAGAACATCAACACCATTTACGACGTAAAATACAAAGATGCTTTCTCGAGCTTAAGTATACCTCTGGGAGTTTCAGTATTCAACACATCAAATACATGAACTCGAGGGTCCCAGATGGCATTTATCACATAGACGGATGGATTAGCGCCTAAAACAGTTGAAAAACGTTCTCCTATGAATATTCAACGAACTAAAGTGGAGGAGAGTGCAGGACGTACCCGGACCCATACTTTCTAGTTCTAGTAGTTGCATATCACTGTGCCGTAAATTTCTTCCAGCTGCAAGCAGCATCCCAAAACATTTAGTGACAGTCAGCGGTGGACCAGACACCTTGAAGAAATTTGGACTTCTCATAGTCAATTGTGAGGCACTCAATTATATTCAATGTTCCAATATACCACGGAGAAAATATGCGTGTACTTACATAGGAAACAACTCAATGGTTAATTTCAAATGCTGAAGCAAGATTGTTTATATGAGCTTTGCTACATAAATCAACATGCCATCACATTTTTCTGTCAGGTACATAGCATACTCGATAGAGTACGTTGAAAAAAGCTTATTATTGCAAAATTGCATGCCTGCTTCAGTTGAACAATGATCCTCTTTTGTCGATCCCTACGCAATTTCAGCGTGTTATTCTGCTGAGGGCACAGAACCCAATGAGGTGAATTATGTGATCCCTCATTCTCCTGAAATTCATCATTCAGCTAATCACAATGATATTCACGATGGTTCAAGATGCGTGATTGGAGAAGTTTGAATAGTTCGTGCTTGCTGCTTTTGCCGAGCAAATAAACGTAACACGAAACCACCTAAGCCGCTCTATTCTTTGTTTTCAAGCAGAATCTGAGAAAGTCCTTGTGATTTTGTCAGCATGTGAAAGAAAAAACCAAGTTTTCTAATGGAGCTACTAAAAGCGATCGCAATCATACTGCAAACAAGAAATGAAAAAAAAAACGCTATGTCTTCCCTACTTGTACGATTGCAATACACAAAAAAAGCGTATAGGGACTGATCCCATTTATTTCGCGTCTGAATAAAAAACTGGCAAAGTCTAAGCTAGTAGTTTGTGATCACACGGCGCAGCAACTGAAGGCATTGGCAGAAAATGATATCCACTTCTCTCCTCGATATGATGCATTACACGATTTAACAGCTCAAGAAGGATTTGAATTCCAGTAGTTAAACCGTTCAGACGAACTGATTTCCAATAGAAATCCCTTTAACGGCTGCGAGATCAATAATGTGAGCCAACACAGGAGCAACAGCTTGCAAAAGCGAGAACCAAGACGATAATCTCCGAGCAAACCATGATGTTGCAGCAATACAGGAACGAACCAGGCCAATGACACCACCATTAACTCAAGGAATCAGGAATTATAAACACAGATACCTTTTCTTATCCCTTTATACACAATAGCACAGTTGCTGGATCTTCTTCTCTTCCGCTGAGTTTTATAATGTACTACTATAATTCCATTCTTTCAGTTTTCAGTGGAATTATTCAACTTATGCTATAAGCAACTCAAACTATAAAAAAATAAAGACAATTCTCTATTACTTTACATATATTACAGCTGTATCTCTTTTGCACAAATTTTAGATCGCCTTAGAATACTTTCTTCGCATGTACTAGCGATCAAATTGGTCGGCTTTACACCATAGGCTGTCAGTCTATGGCACATCAGTTTCGCTCAGTATTTTTTTTCAAACGACAAGTCTTTCACATCTACTCTGCGGATCCCAGAATTTCGATTCGTTTCCTCATATATATCATCCACAAAGATCTTGCAATTTTTTACGTGTTGCTTCGGCTGCTGCTTGAGGATTTTCATCTCATCATGAATGTCCGGTTGAACAGTGGTGGAGACGATTCTCCCTGGAGTCCTGAAGTAGCCTGGCTTGAGCGATCCTGCCTGGATTACAAACAGTGAACATTTCTCAGACAAGCTGGTTTCGGACCAAGGAGGGATTAGAGACTTACTGAGTCCGGTGCGGGAACGAACCATCACTGCGATCGTAGAGTACTTCGGGTGCCAAATATTCAACAGTCATGTGTACCATACGATTGATGGATAGGATATTTCCATTTAGCAATATTCTAGAAGAAGCACCGCTTCTGAACAGTACAATATGAAGGTGCTATATCGTCCTCAGGCGGTTGGTCGACCAAGTGCAATTCTCTTATTCAAAGGAAGGACTGCTGTCCTGACGGAATCCGGAGGAAAGCAACAAAGCTCCCAGATATACAAAACGGTCGGTAACAACATTTCGTGAAAACCTAGGAACGCCCTAGTTTGGTTCTCCTGGATTTCCAGGAAAACCACGCTAGACGAACATTGAACATGTCAATGAAGTCATGAGACCTTCAAAATTTCATATTGGGTAGTATGTGACGGCAGATACCTCATTTAGGAATTTTCATTCCCTCAAAACTTATGCATATTGCTGTCATTAAGTTCATTTTAATATCCAAGTGTGAGGCAATATTGAGAAGCAAGATAAAGCAGAATGTACCTCTTCTGAGGTGCACTGGTTAGAGTCGCTATGCAATACACATGGGATCGATCCTGCGCCCTAGGCTCACCAAGCCCTTCACTCCTCCGGGCTCGGCAAATTGGTACCAGACTTGTTTGGGAGGATAGCACCACTGACTCGATACATTGGCAGACCATCAGGAGTCAATGCTTAGGCCAGATATGCATTCGGTTACCTCCAACGATGCTTGGTGAAGTCAAATTCATAACACATCCCTCAGAGACTGAGCAACGCCAAGAGCTTTATCCTTATTTATATCTCTGCTGCATTAAATATGACATAAAATGAACAAGCCCCTCACCCATTCCTAACGCCTTTTCGTGTTCAGTAGATGTTCCTGAGTGTCGAAATGCAATGTACACCAGGGAGTTCATCTATTAACTGGGTCACTCAAGACGAGGCTTTCGAAATTTCCGCCAGAAAACCTAGGTAAGCCCTCGCGAACTAAACATCATGAAAAACGGTAAAAAAGGGATATAGGTGTCGCAGATGAAATTTTGAATAAGTCAAGAGCCAAACGTAATTCTGCATTATAAAGCTAAAAATGGTCATATATAGCCAATTGAACATCGCAAAGACGCTACTGACTATGCAAAAATTGCCTTGAAAAAGAAAAGAAACAACCAAATCACCGTTTTACTCAGACATGAGATAATTCACCGACATAAAGCCGTGTGCCATTATTCTTTTTTTTGACAAAACAGAGGGCGGCTAGAATAGACCAAGCCATTTAGTATTCTGCAACTCAACACAATGGGATGCAGTATGTTGTGGCATGTATGGTGAATCACTTTTTTGGTCGCGTTATACGGAGCCTATTAAAAGAAACTGTTGAAACCTCCAATTCATATCAATAAAAGGCAACAGTAGCAAGACCCACCCTGATTTCAAGGAAAGCTTCAAATCTGAAATCTATTCGCTTTTCGTTTTCACCCACATTCATCCGACCACTATTGCTGAATGCTTGCGAAAAGCAGTACAGCGCACGACCTGCCTGAAATAAGCAATTCTAGAATGAACACCACTGAATGATGATACAGCAGAAATCTATCAAGAAACGAGTAAAAGTGGACGAAATATGAAGCCCAGTTACTTAATACATTGCTTAAAACTTCGGCTTCTACACCATTCTTGAGTATTCGGCCGTTTTCCAACCCTATTTTCATCACAGATTTCAGTGTTAATATCGTCTCCGAATGAAAGTAGTAGGAATACCGAAGCAAGGAATCGTTACCGAAGAGATAGTTGCTTCGGATCTATGTCATGGTAAACATCTGAAACCTCCTTATAACCACAACGTTGCTGAGATATTTGCAAAACTCTGGACCGCAGGTGTCTATGGTGGGAAACGAACGCGCTATTATCCTTTCCGGGGAGTAACGCGTTCACCACCACACCATGCGGGTCCTTTGTTTCGCACGTCTCTCAGCTATTTCTATCGATCTTTTTGCCACAGCAATCACCCGTCAGCGGGGTTGATCTGGAAAGGATAATAGCGCGTTCGTTCCCCACCATAGACACCTGCGGTCCAGAGTTTTGCAAATATCTCAGCAACGTTGTGGTTGTATTTCGCTTAGTAACCTGCCATGAAAATTATAGAAGGCAGAAAACAAAACGTTAAACCTCCTTATAACGTTAAGACTCCACGAAAGAACAAATTCCCCAACCGGCAATAAGCCAGCGTCAATGCTCTGCACAGTGGGTGCCCTTGTTTATAAGGTCAGGTGGCGAAACAACCGGTGAAAGGCCTTTTTGGATAAATGCCAAAAACCCTACAATGAATAGCAGGGATGAATGCCTGGAGATCATACGCGACCTGACCCCGTATGTTCGCATCAATTTCTGATGTGGAGTGGTGCAGTCATCAATCATATGCGCCTATAATCAGCTGTTCTAAGCTTCTTCATTGGAGGTCACAAAAAAAGCGGTGAGTTTTTCGAGAAGCTGTTGAACATGTAATTACCAAAGAGTTTTTCGTCTTCATGTAAGTGTTATTGAAGCGTTTGGCCTAGTAGATTGTATATCAGTATACCCTTCCAGGCTCTGAAGAAGGTGATACTGCCGAAACGTCAGCTAGTGTTGTATTGTATTGTGTTTTTCTACGGAAGTAAATGTATACTGTTTAAAAACCTCGCGATTGCTGAAGAAGGAAACGACACATGCAAGAAACTCCATGGAAATTGTTTCCTACTCCGTACATATAGTACACTAGAACAGCCTCCTCAGATGCCTATCTTCACGCCCTTCTTGAAGCCACAGATCATATAAAATTCCATGTGATTACCCTACAAGAAACCAAAAGCAAGAAGACGAAAACTAAACAGCGGGATACTTGTCATCCACGGAGAAAAGGTCCCGTTATGAAATGTCGGTGGAATAATCTTTGTAGTCTACCTCTCAAATGTTCGTCTGGTCGACATGTGCGAGATCCTTTTCCATCACACTATGGTTACCCTCCTTCAACCAACGCATCATAAGATGATCACTATCATCAATTCCTATTCAACTGTCGATGCAACTGATGAGTACGAATTAGATGCATTCTATAGGAAATATTCGTCAATAATAAACCGCATTACAAAACAAAACTTCCCGGCGTTATATGGAATTAATAATGGGCATTCTACACCAAGCTTTTCCGCTCCACAATACCCGTCCCAGACCCTAATTTCCCCGCTGGAAAAAAAGCACCTGAAATTTTTCTGTCTGAGATTCGAGTTGCAATAGAAAGCATGAAAAAGGCACAGACCCAGGACCCGATAATATCACTGCCGACTTCCTTAGAGCTGGAAGCCATAATTTACACGTACTTCTCGCAAATCATTTGAGAGTCTACACATAAAAGGAAAAAATTTTAGACCCAGACCAGTGGAGGACCTCGCGCATGGTTATCTTGGCCACGAAAAGTGATCAAAGGGATCTTCGTAACTATCGCCCGACATGCCTGTTGAGCGTACTCCACAAGCTCTTCGCAATGATTATCCTCTCGTGCATATCAAGGACATTGGACGAAGCACAACCACTTGGAGCAAGCAGGATTTCGACAAGGATTTTACTGCATGGACCACATCTAAACCGTGCCCAGGGTCATCGAAGCTTGTGGAAAATACCACCTACCCTTAGTTATAACCTATGTCAACTATGAAAAAGCGTCTGAAAGTGTCGAAAAAGTGCAATCCTATCAGCGCGCATAGACCAGGGAGTAGACCCGTCTTACGTATATCGAAATGAATATGGAGAATAACATGAAGAAAGAATTAGACAGAAGGAGAGCACTTTGGGCCGAGTTCGGGTCTCACAAAGACACCATGGACAGGCTGAAGAAGCCGAAAATCCGCTTTCACCTTTTCGATTCAACGTTGCTCCCAGAGCTCTCTTATGTTGTGGAGGTGTAGGCTGATATATTAACGACGTCAAGAATAATCCGCACTACTCGCAGAGCGCTTCAATGATGTCTTCTGGGAAGTAACCGGCACACTCAATACGTAGCCGGAATGCGAAGCTCTAACCTCCAAAACCTTCCCTATGTTCGGGATCCAGAAGAATACACATCGATAGCGAAACATAGATGAGCCAGTAACCCAATAAGAAGAACGGAAGACAGATAGACGAAAAGAACTGTTCGATGGATTCTATGGAGATGAAAGCGTCCCCTAGGACGACCTCCTACACGTTGGCCGAACGTGTTCGTTACAAAAGTTAATCAACTGTACTAGCAGATGCAGTTCCCTTACAGATAACGTTATCAGACTTGCAGCTGCCACTATGCCTGAATCAAACCAACACTTTGGAAGGCGGTTGCGAGGGAAGGAACGAAGTGGAAAAGTGATAGACTCCGCAAACTTGTGAAGAAAGGCCGCCAATTAAGTACGTTAGTAAGCAAGTAAGTAAGCTGTTTAAAACTTAAAACAGACTGTAGCTGCGTTTTTAGGACCCCACTTAGAATGTTCGTAAACAGGCTGAGAAGGATTTTGTTAATGATAGACCTCAAAGACCAACAAATACGACCATTCACTTCCCTTAAAACGTGTGCAGATTAACGCTATAGACTTGATATCTCTCCTGGAAAAAAATCATTTTTAACCATGACATACAAGTCATTACACCCATACAAATATGTGTAAGCGTGGTTGTACATGTAAAAATTGTATCAGGTACGCGTCTGTTTGGCCAGAAGAACAATTCGTATCAGCAAAAAGTGCTCATAGAAATATAAAGCAGTTAGGAGTCGGCTTTAACGAATTAACCTTATCTCTACTGCAAAGAAGTCCAACCATCTAACTCTGAATGTGCGTAGCCGCGGTGGCACAAGTCCATTAATAATAAAGACAGTAAAAATAAAGCCATTGGCATGAAAAATGTGGGAAACTTCATGCCTTTTAAGCAAATAGAACTCACTATGTATTTATGTACCCTGTAATAGGAAAGAGTGAAAACTTCTCCAGGATTCGAATTACTCGACGATTAAAGGCATTATAGATGATTAATGTGGTATAGGAGACAGGAACGATATAAAATACCGCATCAGGTTGAGCACTCCGAAAGACGTGGCATTGATGTGTCTGTTCACCGTCGGCACCGTGATGCGTGAAGGATAAGCTGAAACAGTGCTTCTGCGCGGAATCCAGACGACCTCGGACACAAAATCGAATCCTGTGCACCGGAAAAGATGTCAGTTCGCCTCCACTATTGTCACGAAGCCTGAGATACATGGTTTGTACCATCAATTTTCACATAAAACAATTCAGTTTAAAGAATCTTGACCTAGCCCATATTAATGAATAGTTCTTTCACGTACACGACGAATCCCCGAGACGAATGTGGGACGGCCAAAGATACGGTGACGGTAGCCGACGTCCGCTGCTCGTCCAAGAAACGCATAAGTTTCAGCATTTCCGACTCGTTTAATGGGTCATTGATTTTTGAACAACCCAGATAATGAATCTGGAGAAAAAAAAGACCATTTAATATCCGTAAATGTACAGTATAATAAAAGGATAAAAAACCATCCAACATTTTCAAATACGGTTTGGTTGAAGTCCTTCTTATGAGAAACAGAGTTTCGCCATTTTTTTGAAGTCTCTTAAAGGTAAATTTAAGCAACTAAATTTAGGAAAGGTATTTGATAAAACGAACGTATACCACTTTGTGGATTCGAAGTTGTTGTCGGTCCATTATCATTATTAGACGTATTCGAAGAGGTACTGGAAGCGGTTGTACTGGGTGTTGTCATTGAATCGGTCTCGTTGTAGGCTAGAGAACAACTTTTCAATATTTTTCTATGGAAGACAACATGACAAATGGATGCTATAAGCGCACGTTTTATAACAAAAAGTGGAAGGTAGTATGGATTGTTGATAAAAGAAATAGTACACAGAAACAAAAATAAAAGCAAGAACAACGAAGAAATTATCCGAAATCACTTCTTAACAATGATATAATAATAGAAATATATGACTATAAAGTTGTTTTCTTTCTTTCAGGGAGCATAACATGAGGAGAGATTTCCTAAACTCCAAAAGCTGCTAAGGTTTTTTGACTCATCCTAGGACTGCCACCAAACAAACTGAATACAACAGCTCGGCAGGCTTCACACTCCCCCACTTCCTATTTATTGCTTTGGGTGGTCAATAATGAATGAAGAAGTTCAGAACACTTTAACAAAAAAAAGCTAAGGTTTCGCTAAGCGTCCAAACCATCATGTAATCAAAAATCACATTGGGCCCAAACATGAGAATAAGAAATTGATGCGTTAATAATAATGTAGAAAGAGATGGCTTAGCAACGAAGTTTCCGAGAGCCCAATAGTACAGTCGAGACCAGTTTTCAATCGATTTCAATCCAATGGAATGGCCAAAGAGATAGCGAAACTGCATGCCTGAAGGGTCAACAATGTGGGTTCGTACTGAACTTCCAGCTGAAAGTAGGAAATGTCGGGGAATCATGGGGAAATCCGGATTTTGTTTCCTAGGCCTTATGTCTATATAAATAAGTTGTCAATGACTACCTTTCCCATCGCTTTTTCTTATCGATCCCATATTCAATCATCTGCTTCACTGTAGTGCAGCTAATTACCTTCTAACTCCAACATCTACGAGCTCCATCCGTTCCCGTCGCATACTCAAAGCCACTCAATAGATTCAGCTTGTTAACGGAACAGTATTGCAATTTCATTCTGATACATTTCCTAACTATTTTTAGTAACGAAGTAACTACGGGTAATTAACGTATCTCTAGTGATATAAACTTGCTCTGCGTTTTGTTTCCGACCATGCAGAATTCCTTTTTTGTTTGGATGACATACTAGAAGGATGACAACCCTGCTGTACATCACAGTTCCATACCAGAAATGCCCTAATCCATAACGATGAGGTAATAAGCTATACAGGGAGAGACAGACAGCATATCCAATTAAATAGAAGAAAGTGCCCTATGTATTTCCCATCGATTTTACGGCTTGATAATAATGTGTTGGAAATGGAAGCATATTTAGATACAAGGATACATCTATAACTATCACCACATGTCGTGCGGTCCTAAGCATTTCTTCCATTCGATTCGCTGTCCTGCAGATGTCATCTTGGAAGTGGCCACATGTGTTTACTAAATTGTTTGAGGCATGACAAGCAGGTATATGCTTTTTTCGCCAATACACTGGTTGAGCGTTGTCTACCCTTAGATACTGTGATAGCCACTCAAGGGCGTTTCCAAATTATCACTACGGGTAATTGACGCCCGTATTTAATCCATTCCGCCCCAGTGCAGTTTTATGCGGCTGGCCCAATCGCATACGAGCAGTTTTTCGTTGGCAGCGAACTTGGCGGTTTTTTTATGATAAAAAGTGATTTTTCAATAACTACAGTACTTCAGAGGTTCCGAACATGATAGAATTGTAGAGGAGACTTTGCTTTATCGTTCTACGAATACGATTGGTATGTGTGTTGCTTTTTATTGTGTGTAACCACAGCCCCGTTATGTAAAAACGTTGCAGACAGAACCTGGAAGTATTTTTCACCCTATGTTGAGCCTATTTGTATTTTTTATGTGCTCACATTGAATAAAATGACCATAGTGATTAAAACGGAGTCACCATTAATCGTTCGTCATTTCACCGGTCAATGAACTTTTTCTAAAGAATGGTTTTTTGTAAATCATTGAGTGTAGAGAATTATTTTTCTCCCATCCCTCGTAATTCGATCTCTTTTCGATTAGCTGTCGAATGGATATAGATATTGAGGTAAAAAAAAGCTTTCGAACCCAATAAAGTGAGCATGGACACTAATAATGTCCATGAGGGGCATTACGGGTTAAATAGGAGGAACTTTAGCCGCCTGAGACTAGTGACTCTTCCAAGGCAGCGACTCTCACGATTAGTCGACCAATTAGGGATCGAAACCACAATTTTGTGGACTACACCGAGCTTTACCTTTGCTACCTCTTTTCCTCCCCCTCCCACCCAACCGTTCCCAAAAAAAACTTTAGAAATGACGAAATAAAATAAGCATTGCTCCGAGATATTCATGGTGAACATAAAAACGAGGAAAAATGAACAAATGATGGACACACTAAAACTCTAAAACGTTCTCCTTAACAAAACCAAGAGTGCACGCTTATTTGGTGACAGCAAGATGTTACGTATGTCTGAATACTCAAATGCATTTCATATTAGCTTCGTGCAAAAATAGTAGAGAATTAGATTATTCGTCGACCTCAAATTGTTTTATCTCAATTCGATCACAAGTTTAAGGAACAAGATAAAAACTACCGAAGGGCAAACTTTTCTCAACAAAATATGAATGTATTTAATCCATTAGCACGGAATTTTTAAGTGAAAGGAGCGACGAATCACGTTAAAGCGTTTCCATTAGCGGTCCAGCTGCAGCAAATTTTCGCAGTTAGTAGTTGTCAAGATGAATGAATACTGGTAATCAACTGGCAAAAGGTCTTATGGATACGATGGATGAAGTAGAGCCCATTTTTACCGCCTCTGATGCGATTCGTTTAAAATCTTCTTGCCGATCACTACACATTCACTAGAACTGCCTTCTACTGCAAATCTACCACCTAGAAGTGTTGCTTAAGAGCTTCATATTAGTCCAACCAGTGCCGCGAACGCCGTCAGAACCAATTTTCACCGCGCTCAAAATACGACCAAAAAAATGGGTCTTTTTCGCTGCGTAAAAAACAAGGGCACAGCAGAGCTCATTCTCTTTGCTCGTCGTTCAGTGCATGTGGCATCCATTTATCGAGCTTCTCTGTTTTACTAACATCTTCTAAACGACGATTGACTTGGCTGTTGTGGCGTTCTTCTTCAATATTTCGAGCCTTTTTCACACAGCCCAGCATCGCTCATCGAAGTCAGATGGTCGTCATTAACTGATGATGTGCATCAACAACCTTCCTCCCCATGAAGGATCATATTTCCGGTGCTGATCATTTTGAACCATATACAAACTGCGTTTTCGAAAACGAATCTCTGCCTCTACTTTAGCAACTTATCCAGCTCTTTGCATAGACACTTCGTTACTTCAATCAGTTAAAGTCTTTTAAAACACTATTAAAAAAAATGTTGCGCGTTAAATTTCTACACAATAAGGAATCTTAACATATAGAAATGATACTTTATTGTAAACTGTGCCTAGTAAAATAGCATTTGGGAACTTAACAAGAACTTCAAATTTTAGGTTATCTACTGCCATATTTTTTCAAGCAAGATTCCATCATCCCATTCCTAGATGTAGGGAAGAAATATGAAGAACAACTCTCATGCCATGGGAAGAATAGAGTAAACACGAAATGAAAGCAGCAACCGAGTAGTGACTGCACTTCGATGCCACGAACTTCGCATGCAAGTGGCGGTGCAGGAAGCAAAAGGAGACTTTAATCAATGTGAGTACAAGACGGAAAGAGAAGAAGAGAGAGAACGAAACGGTTAAGGGAAAGTAGAAGAAGGTAAAAACTGAGTGCCTCTGTGTGGAGTAGTCAGGGAGAACCCATAGAATAAGGAATAGGGTTGGGGCTGGCTACACCTAGCAATCGATATGCTCTCGTGCCTCGTTATTTCAAATAGTACACCAGATTTGTTGAGAGAAAAGCAATACCAGACGATCATCGTTGCAAGTCCGGTAAAGCATTGATGCCATAAGGTAATCATTGAGCAACTATGAATGGATATTGAATGGGGACAGCAGAACACCTACATCTTGGGGCCATATCAGTAACCAGTTCCAAAATCTCGAACTGCCTAGGAAGTCAGTATAAACGACTACGCTCTTCTTATGAGGAAAGGAGTGTGATAGAAAATAACCAACACTATGAATAGCATTTATGAATATATAGATGTGAGCAAAAGTATTAAACGCACCTTGTTGAAGTGTTTGAAGATTCTCCACAGACAGTGGAAATCTGGTGGTCAGCGGACTTTCGAGAGGTGTTGACGGACGGTCTGAATTCACCATGTCGCTGGTGACAGAACACTCCCGTTGTGGGAATAGTATTAGCACTAAAAAGTTTTCTATGCTGTGCGAACCGTTTCACAATTACGGAGTGATACTGTCGTTCGAATGAGTGTGAATGTGAAAATTTTCTGAAGAATCACATAAAAGGAAGCAATTTCAAGAAAAAGTGTTTGACATCGGTATAAAAAGCAAACACGCTGGAATGTATGTGAAGAGAAGCATAAGGAAAAATGTTAAAAGTGTCCGTTGTAACTTGCTGTACTTCCGGTAAGCAATTGAAGTTATCTCACTAAAAATTCCCAGTAGTTTAGAAGCTTATGAAAATTCGGTTTGGATTCTTTGGTAAGTGTTGCTTCACGGATGATGTATTCCAGCTACTCCAATTCAACGAAAAACGATGAAAGCAGTGAAAAACGATGAAATCAGAGCTTCGAACTGCATTTTGCTTAGTTCGCATTCCAGTTCACAGATCGGTGGTGATCGGCG